GTCCCTGGTCCACACTGACACAAACTTTCCACAAACCTGAGTCAGGCGTGTGGCTAACATGGACCGTTCCTACTCTCAGTCTATGATCGGTTTTGACACTAACATGGACCAACTGCAAATCTGACTATAAACTGAACGCAGGCTAACATAGACCGCGCCGGTAGAGGTCAACATAGCCCGGTGGAGGCTAACATGGACCATGCCAAGTACCCGTAGGGCTCACCATGGCACATCTGAATTTGGTCTAGGTTAGTCTCAACGGTGTCCGCTCGGAAACTAGACTAACATATGCCAATTTGTTTTTGTTTTTGGCGAACATGTTAGTTTTCACCGGTGTATGTGGGAATAGAAATAGTGTTTTCTGTTATGCTGACGATTATTTTTCTTGTGTTCTGTTTGGTGCTGACGATAGGAATATATACATGCCTACATTCACCCCGGAACATGTCAGTTCCTGTGGCTGTTTTGCATGCGCCAAATCCCTGCGCCAAATGGCTTTGGCTTGCGACTTTGTGACGCTAAAGGAAGGTCCAAATGCGAGTTTGCGGGTCGATGGATGCCACGAGCCCTCCCTTTCAATCAGACTTCCTTTCGGCCATGTGGCCGAATGCTGTTCCAGCGGATCGATGAACTGAACCCACGGCATCACATGAAAACGTGGTGGTTGTGATCGCGGAAGAGGAAACTCCGGTCACGGTTGATGGACCAAAATTGCAGTGGGTCAAAGCCAAAGCGAAACAAAGACTGGTTGCCTCTGACTCGTTTTCTATTCTGTTCATTCTCTTTGGTCAACCAGGGTTGCAGGGTTTTGACCCGCAGCCAGATGACAACAGGAGAATGGATCTCAAGTTGGCGCTGGGTACTTGAGAGAAAGGATTCCAGGCAAAAACAACTTGTGGATACTTGTGGAATCAGGAGGTTGGAACCACCAAGCTGAGAAAAAAGGACGGTATTGAAGCCCCTGACAGCGTAGACCTGTCATGAACACTCGCTTGTAGGGTGCCATGGTCTGCAGCCAGAACATCAAATGAAAGGCAGCAGTAGTAGCGGGGTGGCTTTTCATTTGGGGTGGTTGGAGAACATCATCAACGAAGCAACGGGTGGGTCAGAACATACGTTCCTTTCTGAAAAAGGTATATGAAGCGTGGGAGAAGAAGCAGATCCAAGCTCTGCTTTGTGCACTTAGGGCAGTGAATGTTGGAGCTCAACCCTTTCCTTCGTGCGGATCTCTGTTTGGAAAAAGTAGGGATCAATTTTGGAAGAGTACTCTCCCTCCAACAATGGAAGTGGAAAGACCATGAAATCCACAAACAGGAGACGGTCCACGAAACCCTGTTTCTTGGAGAAATGGGTCACCGCTCTGTCGAATGATGCATAGATCGCCGGTCCGCTGGACCAAACCCATGCCCACACGGCCGGGACACACGATCAGCGCCACGTCAGCCTCAGTGCTCCGCAGAGCTCGGTTTTTTCGAGGCGGTTGGGGCCACCAGTGGCTGGGGAGGTGGCTGAAGAGCTGGGCTGTCAAGCTGAACAACGGATGTTCATGACACGAACGAAGTTTGCGGGGGGATCTGAATAGGTCTACGGGGTGAAAATTCAGAACGTGAACTGAGCTCGAGCCTCCCATGATTCAACACACCGAACTGGGGACAAAGAGGTAATTCAGGTAATTCTATAGTCATTTAGAGCAGGTTCCAAGTAAAGGTGCTACACCATTAAAGACATATCAAGAACAAAACCACCTGAATATGGTTAAACTCCCTTGTTCATTCCTGGGTCCGCCAGGATCTCCCTATTTTGCTCTGCTCTCCTTGGTGAACATGAACAGAGCCCAGGCAGCCCAGGTCTTCAGATTCCACACAGTTGGAAACCACCACCTGTGACCTCTGATCCCTAAGATACAGCTGCTAGAAAGAGATCCTACAGTAAGAAAAATATATGACTACCAGATACTACCAGCTTATGCTCGTCCTATCCTTAAGAAATAGCCTTGAACATATATATATATATAGCATGAAAATAAATATAAACAATATCATCACCACCATTCTTGATAAGCATTTGCCTCTCTTTTTATATGATCAAAATTGGAGGAGTCATATCCTTTATCTAGCAAAGACCAAAATTAAAAAAGAAACCATGGATTATTAGGTCTTTGCTTTTGAGACCTCCTGCATCGACTGAGGGCCTGAGGGCGGGACTCGCTTGATGGCCTTCATCGATCGGTGGATGGAGAGCCACATGGTCTCACTCTTGATCTTGTTGCGCTTCCTTGGCATCGAAAAGACGAGACACATCTCGAGTCGGAGTAGATCGAATGTGGGAAATTTCCCAAAAACAAGAGGAACCAGGAACTGGTACTATTTTGGGGGGTTAGTTCATACTCATACTCTATCTGGTTCTACAATACGTTTGCTCCCGCGCATGACTGCTAGACATCCAATTCTTGCTCCACAGATCGGGTGCGTCCAGGTAGGCTTCTCACTTGTTTGCTTCTGACCTTGGCCCAGCGACCCCGTAGCAAGGACGCAATTAGGTGGAGGCCATCGCAAGGTTGGAGGCCATCGCTACTGGGAAGAATAAGATAATAATGATAATACTAGTAGCTAGAAGCTATTAGGTGGCAGCTCGACCCGAGGTGCGACCCTTTGCATCACATCCCTCCGATCACCCGCTTGCAGCAAGCGAGACGAGCGATCGCTTTTCGTCCAAGGGTCGTGATCCCTGCAGTGTCGATGAAGCGGTAGGTATTCCTTACTGGGATTTTCTGGTTTCGAAACTGGGGAAGAAATCAAACCTCTTGGTTCCCGTGAAACGGTAGGTATTCACCCAATTCGGGCAAACCAGACCGTCATGTTGACGGTTGACGAAGAAATGCATCATTAAAATAACGGTCCGTATGCATCCATATGCAGATTCAGATGCTGTATGATGTTTTGCTATCCAGTTGGGGGCGTTCATCAGCAGTCAACATCTGGAAGACCATGTTCTATGTCCATGCTATTTCTTTGGAGCAAATTCAACAATTAACTTGGGATCGAAACATGTCGCATGACTTGTCCAAAGACGGTCCTATCCGCCGAGCCTCTGGGCTCACATGAATTCATAGACTCATGGACTACTAGACTTACATACTCTTACATAGTAGACCCTCAAGGTACATCTTTCCACCCAAAAGCGCAGGGTCACACTGTTGAAGTTAGCACATTGGCCTGAGCTGGATTGGCAAAACCAGCCAACTTGCATGTTTCATGGTTCGGTGGAGGGAGTTCCTCCGGTCTTCAAATTGCAGACCACGTCTCCCGTTGTAGGCCTCCAAATAAGCATCCACTGCATCTGTGGTGCTACCCTCGATGTGGCTCACAATGCTGCGATCCTGGCAACACCATGTGGACAAACATGGGTCACCAAGAGGAGGCGAGCCTGCTTAACCAATAAGGGACCTATTATTGAGAGGGGAAATTAGATTAGGGTCAACCAATAGCAAGTCAAAGGCTGCTACTTGAGGACCTTCTTAAAGGGCACTCCATTCAACTCCCCACAAAACCCAATTGGGTAGAACCGGCTTCAAGATCCTGTTTAAATCACCCCATCGAACGAAAGGTCATGCGTATCATGACCTAAGAGACATGCGTTCATTGCCACGCTGAGTACAAAACCTTTGCCTCCACGTATCGATGATCGTGAAACATGTTTGATGTTTCGGTTGATCTCTCTCTTCAAATTGGGAGTCCAAAAACCATTGTTTTGAGAGTCTGAATTCCAAACAACGGCTTTGCCAAGGATTTTTGACTACAAAACCAGGTCACTGCCACCAAGGAAAATAGTGGAGCGAAAGAAACCTTTATGGGTGACTCATCGCTTCAAACAGCGACAAAGAGTTGCCACCGGTTGCTACCAGTGAACGTGACTTCTGCAATTTTTTTAACATGCAATCTGGTTTGCGTGTTTGTTCTTGCCACGTGGATCCACATCTGGAATACAATCAGACGTAATGACATGGGTGGCCAGTTAACATCTCACGCCGCGGTGCGAAACGGGCCCCGGATGACAAGGCTCCTCCCCAACCAAGGCATTGAACAGCGAGGACTTGCCGCTGTTGGGCTTGCCACAGATCGCCACCTGAAAACGACGCGTGCGACTGCCACGGGTCGGTTGCAGGCGGGAGGTTCTGGGTCGGTCGGGGAGGTTCTGGGTCGGTCGGTGGTTTTGAAAGAAAATCAGTCGACATCTTTTCATGGGCCGAAGACACAGTTATAGACCTTCGTGGAATCAAGCGGACCATAGATGCACATGGCCTGCAGGATCTACTTTTTCAACACAAGACCATCAGCCACACATGCTTTCGGCCGAGAAATGCTGGACCATACATGGCACGACCAGCCAGCCAGGTCATGTCGTCTGGTGGAATCCCGCTCCGGTCACCCCATGTCGTTTGGTCGATCTTCCAGCCCAGCCCTCATGGACTATCTCTTGGGGGCACCGAAGGAAGACCCGAATGACACCGCTCGGATGCTCCGAGATAGTGCTCCGATGCGCGGGGCCAAACACATGTTTCTCCGAAGTTCTCGGTGTGAAGAGTCACCCATGGTACTTTCAACCAGAACTTCGGCCGCTTCTGGGCGCCTTGATGGTGTTGTCTCCTTGGAGAAAGCGAGAACTGGGCGCTGGCCCCGGATCCTCCGGTGTTCACCTTTATTCGTGATCAAGAAGGGGGGTGGATGGAAGTATTTGAAGCGAGAGAGAAGGGACCGAAAGCTTCTTCCGTTAGTTAGCGATTTCAGAAGAGTTGATCAACGGCATAAGTGCCACAGTTGTCCACCTGTTGTGAATCGGGAGAAGCGTTCCGATCATCAATTGGTGTTTGGCCGTGTTATGAGGTTTCAGTTGCACTCCGACTCACGTGGAAAATTCCCCCTGTGTTCGTGAAGGAAAGTCGCCAAGAAAGGGCACCATGCATGGGAGACAGTGTGGGAGACACCGACCTTGCAGGTGCGATCCCGGTACGGCTCGGCATTCGGTTCTTCCCAGTTGGCCGCAGCCTATTGGTACATCCCAAATAGCAACTGAGGTGAGCAGGGCATGAAGCCCACCTGGAGAATCTGAACCACTGAGCCCACCAGTTTCCATGAATGACTGGAGATGAACTACACAATCAAGAGTTATCACAGTTCACATTCCACATTCCTGACATCCCAAGATCTAGTCATCTCTCCAATGCCAAGGCTCTCATTGAAAAAACCTATAGGGACCTAGTGGGCTCTCGTTTTGGAAAAAATACGAAAAATAACATCAAAGACGAGTCATGTCGTCTTTTTCCCTGAGCTGTCCAAGTCGACCAATCTTTGTCGGAACTGGGGAAAAACAGTAAAACAACCCGTGGAAGGTTGATCCGGAAGAAACACACTGGAGCTCCGGCATGCCAGGGATTCACCCGGAGACCAGAAAACCTGGAGACCGTTCATCCGGAGAACGACCGCTCGACCTCGAAAGGACCAGGAGAACACCTGAGGAACGGTCCTGCCCTTCCTCCGAAATGGGAGGGTCCGTCACGTCACATGATGTCGTCGTCACATGGTGATCCATGGTTTCCGTCAGCGCTCTGAGCAGTTCGTAGACGTTCAGTTGAGATTACCACAGAAGGGCGCCACAGCAACTGACACATCTTCCAAGCTTCTTGGCTCTGTGATCTGATCTCCGTCTTTGGACTTCAGTGGAAACAGGCCGTTGCCTCGGTGCCGAACCAGTCGAGTGTGGCTTGTCGACTGCCAAGGAGAAGGGATGCCGGAAAAACCCACCATGTGTGGTGTAACGAGAACATCACATGTATAGTTCAGTGTCCTATTATTGAAGAAATAAACTAGTTTTGTCAGATAGAAGATCATTTAAAATTGATGAAATGCACAAGGAATCAAATAGAATAAACCCTTGACATATCATACCATGTCAGGGTCAAAAACAAGCACAACAAATAGAAGAAACCGTCATCAACAACATGAGGAAGAAAGCAGGATGCCTGAGTAGTGGCGTTGGAGAGATGCCGCTCTACCCGAAGTAGCAACAAACAAACCTGAATATGGAAGATTGACGAACTCCTCCTTCATATGGGAGGGCTGCAAAATTTGAAGACTTTGTCAGTGTATCTTGGCAGGTATGACCATCGGCCGTCGAGATGTATAGATTCAATAATCTGAAATATGTCGAAAACACGCCCGAAAACACCGACCTTCATTGGTGGAGAGGCCCGGGACCACCATCTGTGGAGGGTCAAAACCCATCCTGCTCGGATTAAATGCAGAAAAGGTGGATGAAGTCGAGTGGGGAGGAAAAAAGGACCCACCTCCATCTCAAAGGCCATACAACATCATCTACTTCCCAACCTCTTCCTTTCGGCAGAAGTTCAACAATGGCCGAGCAATCTCATAAGTCAATGGTCGAAAAAAAAGATAATGACCTCATTGGAGATCCTCCTATCCTGATGCTGCTGTTTTTTTGGCTTTTCTTTTTTGTTGTTTTTTGATTTGTTTCCATCAATTGGTGCATTTTTTTATAAAGCCACTCCCCAGATATCATAATGTATATATATATAGTATAAAAAATATTATATATATATATTGATACTAACATACAAACACACTGTGAATGGAATGCAGAATTTGAACATGAAGAAATGTCTATGTTCACTGTAAATTACAATGGAATCAACATGTGGGGGGGTCGTGGTGGGGGGGTGACCATATATATATATATAAGGGGCTATCAATAGACATTTGTTCGGCAGCCCTGGTATTTGGTGTCTTCCAAACGCCCATGGGCTACCCGAAAAAACTTTGGTACAGCCCAGGCCCAGGCACAGCCGCGGTTAATCAGCGCATCCACGCATTCCCACACGCCACGGCGGTGGTAGGCGCCTTTCGAAAACATGCTCTGTGTTTTCGTGCAGAGAAGGCGCAAGGAACGAGACAACGATTGTAAGTAGAGCCGAACCCCATAGTATCAAAGGTGGGTAGAACCCCCCAGCAATTATTCAAGGGCATGAAGGATAAAGCATCGGCTGAAGTTCAACCTTGTCCTTAAGCAAGCTTCAGAATTTGTTGGGGGGACTTCTCACACCCATTTGGGTAGCCATTTGTGAGATCTGATCTTCCCCCGCTTGATCCTTCTCAGGTGCACGACGCAAGACCGTCAAATCGAGTATGCTCAAGGCTCAAGACATCTCAAGACCGTCCTCACTCCACTTCTCCTCCCCACAGGGTCTAGTAACAAGAAGCTACGAACGGGGCTCCTGGCCTTACTACGAACGGAGCATTCTTACTAGTAACAAGAAGCTGGCCTTACTACACTACCCTACCGCTCCAAGTCCTCCGCCCACCGCGCCAACGGCCCCCGGCGGTGCGGTGCTCCGCGCTCGGCCGGTAGCCAAGGGGCTCAAGGGGATGGGCTCTCCGAGGCCCAACTCCCAAAACTCGGCGGCCTGGAGCTGGTGAGGCCGGGGTCGAAGTCCCCCCTGCAAACTAACATGGAACCTAAGAATTGACCAGGGGAAGACTATGAAAGACCATTTTCCTTTACAACCCCTGTGGTTTGGGGGTTCCATGTTCATCTGCAGGGGGGTACCAAGGATTTCGCTTGCCCCTTTAGCACCCAAAACCGGAAGCACCCAAATGGCCCAAATCGCCTTGGGGTTCCGGCGACTAGGGGTTTGGTCGATTAGCTTTTGTGAGCCACGTGGCACGTGGTGCGGGGAACTTGGTGGTGTTGTTCCGAACTCTCGCGGACAATCTGTCCAAACCGCACCCTTTGATGCACTCACTACCCCAACTTGACCGCCAATCAAATGCCAAACTCCAACTCCTCCGATTCTCAATCGAGCCTTGTTTCTGAAGCTTCAGGCTGCCCCATCTAAGATTGTCCCTCCAGAAAAATACACTCTTGTCAAAAACTCTCTTTATACCTTTTGTGGTTCGTTCATTCTCGTTCCTCACCCGGGGTCAGTCTCATGTCAGCGCTGGCAGGCTCTTTTGTTCACTTAGCCTGCAGGGTCTGAATACAGGGCATGGAATGAATTGCCCTCATTCATGACTTTCCAACAAGAACTAGTTCGTTCTAGTAGCTGATAAAACGCCAAGCTTGTACTTTTTGACGGTCGAAACTCTTACATATTCGAGGAACACTAAACACAACCTCCCCAAAGTCAAAGACTGAGTAGAAGGATTTCATCTTCAAATCTCATGTCGCTATTTCACTCTGGGCAATAAAATATTGATCCAGTCACATGGTGGTTGCTTCCACGATGTTCATGAAAACAGTGTTTCTGTCACAACTAAGTTTGTTTATTCAATCTATATATATATTATATATATCAATATATATATATATAAATTATATTATATATATGCAAGTTGGCCAACTTGAAAGGTCGAGGTCTTCTCTGCCCGGTTTCACACATCGGTGCAGTCGCATCAGGAACCGTGCAGGCGCATCGTCGAAAGCCCTTCACTGCCAACCCCCCAAAGGGGTAATTTGGCGTAGCGAGATGCGCGACGCGCTCCACGGCCAGCAGTGTGTTCTGACCGCTGCCAAGACGGCTAGGTCAATTCCTGGATGTGAGGACTTTTCGGTGGCTTTTCTGAAGGTCTGAAGACCCCCCAAGCCGCAAGCACTCGGACATCTTCCTCCAGAGCCACACCCTGGCCTTATCTAATCTGTATTATAGGGACATTTTTTGACTTCATTGGGGTTTTTGAACATGCATTGTCCAAATCGGACATGTTTTTTGGTGCTGGGCGCAGCCGATGGTCATGATGTTCAGGCGAAGGTGAGAGGTGAGTTTAGGTGATGATCCTCCGGTGGCATGGCACGGTTCCTCCTTACCCTCCCTGAAATCATGGAAGTGGAGGTCCTGGCTGCCCCTGCCCTGCTGGAAAAACAATTTTCCTCTACAAACAGGAGAATAGAATCACCTTCCGTGTTTTTTGGGGGTAGGGTAGGGGACATGTAGACATGTATCGCCGCGAAGTGATGTTTGGTAATATGTGGTGAAGCATCCATAAGCGTCCAGACTTGCGGTGGACGGTGATGGGCGATGTGAAGTGTGAGGAGATCGCAAGTGGATTTGGATCAGGGATGGCGCTCTTCCTCTTGAAACCTCCTTTTGTTCGTTTCAAGCTCATTTCTACACTGTTCTGTCTAAGTATTTCTGTGCTGTTCATCCACATGCTGCCATCTGAGCCCAGTCCTTGGAAATTTGGAATGATGCTCAGGAATCCCCACTGGAAACCCTTCAGCCAGTATTTGAAGACCAGGATTAGCAACAGCAAAGCTCCTGCCCAACCCACCCACCCCAAACTGCTGGAATTGTTCCTCAAGTCGATCCATTCCTTACGAGTTTTAGGAGAATTATATACAGCTGAAAAACAAATCACGTTTGCTACAGAATTACTGTGTTCTTTTCGTTTTCTGCAGGACCCTCTGTTACCATAAACCTACCGTACCACGCCCTACACAGCCCGGCTTCGTACATCGCCCCGGCACTGCGATTCGCCGCCCCAACTGCAAAAAACAGAATTCCCATGAGCCAATTTGTCGTACTTCAAAATCTTCAAAGCCCCCTAAAGGATTTGATGATGTACCCACAGTTCGAGAGGTTCTCAACCAAACGTCCATGAACACCCCCCTGACAATCCCGTTCAGAGGCTTATATACAGCTGTTTGTCCTCCTCATTCTCCCCGTCCCATCAGCTATCCTTGCCGAACCCAAATGCTTGTTCCACCCCAAACCCGGGAACAGCCGCTCGATGGCGCGGCTCGATCCCAGACTTCATCCGCCTGCTGGCTCCGAAGGAGGCTCCGAATCCGACGTGCTCCTCACATCCTTCCGAGCTACCTTCAAGATCTGGAAACATGAGAGGATCTAAAGTGCCTGTGGGCTCTGATAGATATAAATGATATAAATCGCTTATAAATGTGTGTATATATATACATATGCATTATAGATACTAGATGATACATGATGATACTAGATATTGTCTATGTCTATGCATAGAGGTGATTACAGAGGTGTTGTGGTGGAAAACAAACAGCGTCAACCAGGTCGGTCATTTCCCGCAATTGGTTTTGGGATGTGTTGGGCGGGAGAGGAATGACAGGACTTTGGCGCGTTCTTTTTTTTATGCGACACACACACACTTAGATCCATGCTCGCAAGAGCTATATCCGTTGGTGCGCTCCAGTGATACTGCAAGTAGACCTTTACACGCAATTAAACCTTGACTGAGGGCACGGAAAGGTGGCTGAGTCCGCGACAACAGTATTGCTTCAAAAAAGCCCATTAGCATTTTACAGGAAAAGTAGGGTAACAGCTTGAGCAACAATTGAACCCGGCAAGCTAGTTACTGAATACTTAGCACTCTTGAATCAACGGCATGCATAAAGGAAAGTCACAGCGTTTGCAACAGTTCAAACAAAGCAGGTACATGGGACTGGCCAAGTCCCACATCCCGCGATATCACCCAGATTCATTGGTCAAGGTTGGTGATATCGCGCCTTGACCCAGTGCTTGCTGTACAGAGTACATCATAGGCCAGTTAGTTATCTAAAGTTAATTAAGAGGGATGTGGTCGTTCTCCTTGGAGACAGGAGTTGAGACACACACTTAGGATAGGGTGTACTGAACTGAAAGCGGTGCCACACGCC